AACTAGAGATAGGGTATCAAAGCTTAGCAGCTGAAGGCTTTATTTTCTTGTTTTTCCTGCAGGAAAAAAACACAGGTTCCTCAAAGACTACTGCAAAATTGATAATATAGTAATGTTAATTCAAATATTATCCAAATTTCTGATAATTCTATATATCTCTTCAGCTGCTTTTTGAGATAATACTACATGTGGGCTCAGTTTCCAAATGTGAATATTACTAGAAAATTAAGAAAATAATCTAACAGATGGGTAATTATTGTGGTTCTTCCCCGAAATGGTGAATGACATCTGCTGAAGGTGTCTTTTATAGCTTAAATATAGAAGCAACTCTGAAATTGAGTTATATAAGACTCTGGCCAACAAATGATGTTTTAGCTATATTTAATCTGTAAAGAGAAAATGTCTCTATATATTATTTTGTGTTACATTTTGAATTATAGAATTTAGCTTCTTTCTCTTTTTTTTAGAAGAGCCCAGGTAACCATTAGAAATGTACTTTTCAGAGGTGGATTTCACAAGCAAAATTTGCGGTTGGAATTATGACACTGACATATTTGCTAATGAAGACCTGCTGGGATATACCTGTGTGCTGCCACACTGGAAGGCAGTCCATTAGTGTTTGAATTGGTGCACTTTGGGACTTTTAATTCTTCACAAGTTCTATTTCCATGCTTAATTATAGAAAAGACACGGGGGGAAGTTGCATAGCCCCTTCTTCATTCATTTCATTGTCAATGGGAGTGGCAATGAGTAATTCTTCTTCAAGTTCTGTTACAACATTCACATAAAATAATACACCTCCATGCTGAGTTTGCTTGAATTAAGTCATATTTTATTTGCTAATGATTTTCCATGTTGACAGTGACCTTGAAGTTGGTATTGTCAACACTTCTTGACATAAAGAGAGTGTGATTTTGAGTTGAGTGCATCAATTTATTCTTCATTTTCTGTCTGTATTTTTGAAAGGCTTTTAAATTAAAATTTCTGATTGAACACTTACCTGAGTACTGCAGAAGTTAGTGAGTTAAGTAGTTGTCAATTCACATGGTTTAACTGAAATGAATTTTAGTGTGTGCGTACGAAAAAGATTTAGCTAATGTCTTGAATGGTGTGTGTGTATGTATATGCGTAATCTTTCCTTCTACTGGATTACCTTAAGAATTGTTAAACAGTTGAACCACAAAATCACAATAATATAAATTAACCTGAAGAAAGCTTCTTGGACATAATTCTGCCCAAGGTCCTGAAATGCTGGGTTAAAAGAATTGATATGAAACTTAACATGTATTTTTTAAGCTATAAAAATGTGATGTAAAAGATGATTTATCAAAATGCTCTGTTTTAGAATATTGATTTTTTTTTTACAAATATATAGGCTATAGTAAATCAGATTACAAATTATAAAGTAATTACAAATATATAGGTTATATATTAGATATACTGCCTGAAATATATAAAATATCTAACATATCTAATTTGGCTGTATTATATTAGAACAAAGTTCTACATTTGTGTACTTCACTGCTTATTATGCCTAAAATCTGCACAGTTATGAAATTCTGCTTAATTTCTTAGTAAAAATAGAGTACAACACAAATGACAAAGTTTACTCTTTCTAACACCAAAATCGTATATGTACTTTAAAATCAATGGCTCTATTAGGTAATTCCATTTGAAAGATGGTGCAGAACACTTACTTTAGCAAAAGAAAGTGTTGTGTAGCTCATCATTCTTTCTTTTCCAGAAGTTCTGTAGGGTGCAGCAGTCTTTGGAGTTGCCACTGACCCAAAGGAACAGGCTGCTTTTCAGCTACTCTGGTGGATGCTATGGTTCCTTCCAGTACTCCTCTAGTACCATCTGCTGCTCTGCTGCACACGTCAGCCTGTGCCATTTTTCTGTGCTGTTCTGATAGATGTTATAGCATTTGTCTCTAGAACCCCAGACTCAAAAGCCTTGGGATGATCTGACTCCTTATTTCCTTTTGCGTTATACTCAGGAATGCCAAAGGAGTGTATACCCATTGTGTTGTAGAGATTGGTGGGGTAGCTCTTGCAGTTTTTATTCATAGCTCTGTTCCTTCTACAATTGACAAGCATCTGGGCTTGGGAGTTATGTATCACCTAGGCAACCTACTTATAATAATACTAATATCTTACTTTGATAAAGTGCTTTATAGTGTTATAGCTTCATATGTTAAGGCTGAACGTCCATAGTGAAGAGGGGAAAATACCTCTCTGCTCTTTTTGTTATAATCCACTAGAAGGGATCTGCATATCAATAATCTAAGCACATTGAGACCACTTACAGTGCTAGAAATATTCTTAGTGGAAATAAAGATTAATCCTTTTTATTTATGTAACAAATTTTCCTATCTTCATTGGATTGTGGGTACTAAAGAGAGTCACAATTATGTTAATAACTCAAATGTATGTATGTTGTCTCCTCCTATTGATGTAGAGGACGTAGAGGACGTTCAGCCTTTGGCAAAGTTCCCCTTCCCAGGTGTTTCTAGAATTCCTCAGGGGCTGTCTCAGCCGTCCTCCTGAACAAGTCTGTCTCCACTGAGACAGCTGCTGCTCCACCAGGCACTTCAGTCTCTTGCCAGATGGTGCTCTCTGCTGGGCATTTCCAGCAATGTGCTTGATCACAGCTAAAGCTGCGTGATGAGCCAGGGTAAAGTTGAGGGGATAATGCCGTTTCTCTGTCTTATACTCTATTAGAGGGGTCTAAAAGTGGTGCTAATTTTTACCAGTGTTTTAATGAAACAGGTCTTTTAGATTTTTATCATGGCACCTTTGTGCTCTACAGGACACAGGCTTAAACCCAGTGGGGACCGTCTGTTAGGAGGCAAATTCAATCAACAGAAAATACTTGCTTTAGCATTGCTACTCTTTTGACACTAGGATTTTCTTACTGGATGAGGGTCATCATGATTAGCTGCTTCTCATAGGATTAGTTTTCACATACACCTTCTGGTTGACTTGCTCTGTTAGTTCATTACACATTCCCAAACATGTCTGAATCTTAGTTGGACATGGCTGGTAACTCTCTGTTTCTCCACCCTCAGCCCCAACATCCTCCACTACCCCAAGCAAGGAACATACAAGGGGATTTACTGAAGTTGAAGCAGGAGAAACCTTTAGAAAAACTATAATTCAGTTTCTCTATGAGATTGCATCTATGATAAAAGAATCAACAATGGTCCCATTTCACTTCATGCAAACATCAAAGTTCTGTCAGAGATTATGTTGGCCCCTATTTGATTCTTTAAGATCAGGTGGGTGTAGAATGGAAAGTTTAGTTTTATTATGTTTGTATTTTGTGATATCTAAGGACTAGTTGTTGGTGCTAAGTTCTAGGTTTTAAAGGCATTTTCCCATAGTAGGGAATTTTAGTGCTGTACCAGCTTCTCTTTGGATTTTGTTGTGGCATCTCAAAGCTTTCTGGAGTGCTGCCTCTCTAATTAGAGTCTGTCCTCATTAGGGGCCAGTGGCAGTGCTTCCAGTTTATTTTCAATCATCCACACCAAGAATAGAGTGGGTGTTAGCATTCTCTTTCATCACTTCATGTAATGGCACTGGTGCAAATCTCCAAAGTTATTAGTAGTTTTGAGAATTGCTCTCTACTCACTACCCAAGAGTCCATCCTTAACTCCAGTTTCTGTCCTTCGGGGGATGTTAATAGGGTTCAGCTGAGGTTCTTTTCACATGCAGTGAGGTCTTTTTCTGGTTCTAGTCTCTGCTGTGGTATATTTTCCAGAAATTCCTTGAAGTTTTAGAATGTGAATGATACCTTCTCTTAGTTTCTACCACTGATAATTTGTGTTTATTTTATACACCTTTGAAATTTTGGTGAGAGTGGGGCAGATGTGGGTTTGATTCACCACTTTGAACTGCAATTATACTTTTTAATCACTAATATTACTATTTATTTCATTAATATTTTTTATAATAGTAATTGAGAGAGGTTGTTTCCACTGTTCTAGAATAATAATAGTCATCTAGAACAACTGACACACTGTTTTATGTGGTTAAACTATAAGTTTATGTTATGGGGATTTTATTCAAGATATATATTAATTGTTTTAATAATTTAAGCTTATTTTAAAACTATATTTTTACAAATGTGAACTGAAAAATAAGCTAAATAGACTAGAGTTTACCTTTTAACATCAGTTAAAAAAATGAGATTTTTAAAAATTCTTAAATGATTTAGAATGTATTAGGTCAACAGAAGAGAATTCCTATAAGAGAAGCTACTGTTCTTGTGTTATACTTTACTATTTTATTAGTTTCTAATGAAACCAAGTGCTTTAACTTTACTAGAGTGACCTTTTTAATGGGTCATGCTTAATTTTGACATTTATTATAGTGGATGTAAAGGAAAGATGATTGTTGATTTCTCATGTCACAAAAAATTTCTTTGGCATTAAAAGACTGATTCTGACCTTGAGCATTAACAATAAAATGAACTAGGGATAGTGGTTAATTTATTGTTATATATATCTTATTCTTTTAAAAGGTTACATAAATATGTTATAGTTTTAAATACTAGGTAATTAGAAGTTATCTAATATCTGTTGGTGATGTTTGAATTTTAATTTAATTTCTTGAAATTAATTTAATTTCTATTTAATTAAGCCGTAGGCTTTCCCATTCCCTAAATCGTACAATTCTGCCTCCCTCCCTTTTTTAAATGACGAGGAGCTAACTTGCCCTTAAGATTTTAGATTGCTGAGTGTACTGCCAAGAGCAAAGCTGTTCATATTGGTGGAGGATATGCTAAAACTAGAGGCACTTCTCTGGGAATCCCGGCTGACTCAGGAGTGGAATGGGGCACAGCAGTGGTAACTTAGCTTGAGATGTATGAAGGAAGATTTAGCATTTACCAGTGGAAACTCCTTGACCAAGGCCTTGTTTTAGCCTTAAGTAAAGTTAAACATTGTTTCATGACTTATTTAAACTATATCTCATCTTCACTTTTTTTTGTTTTGTTTTTAGGATTTTTCCAATGCAACTTTGAAATACAAGGGGATACATTTTGGCAGCTCTTTGGGAAGACTACAGTTACCTATAAAGTCAGGGCCTGGTCCTGGGCAGTATGATGTAGTCCAGTGAGTAGAAAAAAATAGCATACCTTGAATGTGGTTCTTGACTATAAAGTATTCTAATAATTCAGACTAAGTTATGCTGTTATGAGGAAAAAATCAGTATGAAAAACTCCAAGAAGAATTGTATTTTAGAGTAACCTATATGAAAACTATTGCTTTTTTGTGAGCCAGATCCTGTGCTACCTGCTTTACATATATTACCTATTGAATCTTCACAAGTCTCTGTGTGGTTACTATTGTTATACCTATTTTATCAGTGAAAAATCCAAGGGTCAAAGAGAATAAATAACACATTCAAGATCATGTGGCTATTAAGTGGCAGAGCTAGACTTTAACAGAGGCCATTTGATTATACAGCCCATGTATCTAAGTACTAAAATGTACTGTCTTTAATTATAAAAGAGACAAAAGATCAGAGAAAATATAAAAGAAGGTGACTGGAATTCTCTGTCTTGTCCCTGGCTCTGATGTCCATTTTTCTGATTTAGAAGGCATTCTCAGTATGAGTCAGAGCTATAACGTTAGGTTGGAGGTAATATTTATGAAGTTTAACTAGGAAATACATTTCTGGCAAAATAATTCTTCTGTCTTTATTTTCTCCTTCTCCTACAGTAAGGCCTTAGACATGAGTCCATGGAAGGCAAAATTGGGTAACAAATACCATGTTGTCCTCAGAATCTACCACTACTTTTTATGGTTATTTTTTTTTAGTGGGGTCTGGCGTATCTGCCTGATTCTTTCTCTCTCGTAGGATGAGTTTTCTTGCAAGAAGACCCACAGTGATTATCTATACAGTTAGTTTGCTAGACAGATCCAGACACATCTGTACAGCAGCAGTGACATAGCTTAGGATCTTACTTGAACTCCTCTGCTACTGTTCTTATTGAACAAACATAGTTTGAATTCTTGCTTATGTGCTAGTACTAAACTTAGTAACTGAGAATAAAAAGAATAAAACATGGTCCTTGTTTTTGGGAATTTATACTCTATTCTATTGTTCTATCCATTATTTCACTTCCCTGATATGGGAGATACACCTTGAATTTTTATTCTTTTAGTAGTGACACTAGAACTTTTACATGTATATTTAGCTTAATGGGATCTAAACTTAGTATCTTGGTCATTTTTCCAAACGAAACAAAGTCTATCAGATTCTCTAACTCTGCTTATCCCCTTGGCATATGCTTTTGTTATTCAGTATTCTAATCTTATCCTTTTCTTCTTTTAGTTTCGCTGGTTTGCTTATCTATGTCTGCCTGCCTGCCTGCCTGCCTGTCAGTTTTATTGAGGTTTAATTAACATAATGCAAAATTAACCTTTTTTAAGGCGTGTAGCTCTGTGATGATTGTTTTCCATCCATTCCACTGCAATTCTAAGTACTTTAAGCACAACCAGAACTCTGTCTAATCATGTTGCTCTGATTTGGCTTGGGAGTTTTTTCCTAACAGTCCTTTGTACTTCTCCAACCCTGTCTCACTCCTATTCTTCTCCTATTTTTTCGATGCAACTTTTACTTTGATCTTTATTATTTCCCTTGTTTCTTCTCTTCCTCTATTTGTGCTTTCACTTTTGCTTGTAGGAATGTATCCGTATAGATTGTGTTCCAGACTGCTTCAGAATGTCACCATTTCCATAATTTGTCTGCTCTTTGGTTTTGTCAGCCTTCACTGACTTTTATTTGGAGTTGTCTGGCAGTTGACATTTTCTACCTTTTTTTTTTTTTTTTTTTTTACTTTTTGTTTTATTGGTTGAGTCAGAATTATTCTGGGAGATTTGCTACAGTGTAAAAGTGGAGACACTTGGCCCCTCTAAATGGAAAAATGAGCTTTTGGATCTCTTTTTGGGAAAGACACAGACCTAAATGATATGTGACCCTTCTGATATCCTAAATATAAATTTGTTATCCATAAAACTATTTGAGGTTTTGAAAACAAGTTCATTTGTTGAATTTTGTGAGAAAAAAAATCAGAAGTCAGCATTTAACAGTGAACTGAGATATTAAATGCATATTTAAATCATAGCAATGTCAAACAAAGAAAATAATGGCAATTATGTAACTTAAGCATTTGTTTTTCTGTTTTTTTATTATCTGTTTTTTAATCTACTTATGTTCAGTATTGTTCATGGAAAATGTTTAGTATGAGATGTTTTTTGAAATTCTGTTTAAAAAATAGAAAAAAAATAGTAGTATAGTCAGTGTAGCCTATTTAAATATAATTCTTGTAGTGATAATAGCTAACAGTTATTGTGTACTTTTTATGGGCCATGTGTGGCACTAAACACTTCATATATATTATCTACCTTCATCACTACAACCTTGAGAATTGTGTATTACTATTTCCAATCAGGTGAGGAATCTAATCTGAAGCTTAGAGAAGTTAGGTGATTTGTGTAAGGTCACACAGTTAGTAGGTAGCAATGCTATGATTCACATCAGGCTGACTCCAAAGCTTGGGCTCTTAATCACTGTTTGTTTAGTTTCTTATTCTTTCTTGAGGTCATGTAAATTTCAATGACAATAAGCTTCCCCTTCATTTTCAAAGGTCTTTCTTTATGCCCTTTCCTGATTGCTTTATGATATAAATAGCATAGGGTTCCCCCTTATTTTAGTAATAGTTAAAATACCACAGGATTTGAAATTTTAAAGACTTTATGGTAAATAGAATACACAGGAAACTTTTTTTGGTAGCTTTTTGTTGAAACTCATGACATAAATCCCACATTCTATTTTTGTTTTGGAGTCTTTATTAGAATAGGTTTATTATAATGCTCTGAATTGGAAAATGCAGAAGTGACTAATATAAATGAATACATTTTTCAAAGTTTAGAATATATTGATCTAACATACCCAGATGACCTTGTTATTGCATACTTGATAAGCAGGAGATGTTGGTGTAAAAATATTCTCTTTGCTTATATAAACATTTATATATTTGAAACTGAGAACTCCTCAATTTCTTTCTGAATTTTGCAAAGGAAAAAGACACCACATTATGAAAATATTAACATCAAGAAAGATCAACAGCAAAATTATTGCTTATATCTTCCGCGATTTTATGAAGTAATAATATTGCAGGAGGAAAAAAAGGTAAGTTGAAAAGTAGCTATTTCATCTATGTTCTAGATTTTAAGATCATGGAATCTTATTATCACAAGGTTAGAGTACTTTTAGATCTACTGTGCCTGGTAGCTAGTTGTCACTCAATGAATATTGTGGAAGGGACTGTACTTAAAATCTCCATCGAATGATCATTGTCTCTGTTGACACCTCTTATGATAAAGATGACTGACTGTAAGGTTTCTTGTTTCAGTAGTGGACAATTCTTACAATTCCCTTTAAACTGACCAAAATTTACCTGCCTGTTACCTACTTATTCTCCCTTTTCCTATGACTTCTTTTCAATCTCCTTTTAAATCTTTTCTAGTAACACTAAATGTTCTAAATGTCTTTGACTAGTCTAGTTATTTAACTTCAAGATAACTTATTTTCCTTTGAACTTATCTAGGGATCTTCTTCAGTTTGTGAAGCTCACTCTCTTTTTAAAAAAAAAGATAGGGCCAGCCCCATGGCTTAGCGCTTAAGTACGCGCGCTCTGCTACTGGTGGCCCGGGTTCGGATCCCAGACGTGCACCGACGCACCGCTTCTCCGGCCATGCTGAGGCCACGTCCCACATACAGCAACCAGCAGGATGTGCAACTATGACATACAACTATCTACTGGGGCTTTGGGGAAAAAAAGGAGGAGGATTGGCAATAGATGTTAGCTCAGAGCCGGTCTTCCTCAGCTAAAAGAGGAGGATTAGCATGGATGTTAGCTCAGGGCTGATCTTCCTCACAAAAAAAAATAAAAATAAATAAATAAAACTGTTTAAAAAAAAAAATGATACTAGAACTAAGCATAATATTCTTGGTGTAGTCTGGTTGGTACATAGTAAGATTTTCATCTTACTTGTTCTGGACAGTGTATATTTATTAACATAAAACCCGCGATTCCATTAAATATATTTTTTGTTGCTACATTTCAGTTTACTCATTTGGAACTTGTAGGCAAATAAATCTCTGGATTTTTTCCTTCAGCATATTATTATATTTAAACTTGAACACTTGAAGGTTATAGGACAAAAATTTAAAATGGGTCCATTTAGAGTAAGGATAAATGATTCTCAGTAGAAAAATCAATAATTATTTGAATAAGAATTTTCTTTGCATTTGATTTCCTTGGTCTTCCTCTGAATATTAATCAGCAATAAAAATATTATTTATAGAAATATTAGAAAAAGACAAAATAACAGAATAATATAATACAATTGTTTTCTTAGAATAACAATTATAAATCTCAAATAGGGTAAAAAGTGTTAATTTAGAATCATGAGAGATATTAGTCTGTAGTTTTCTTGTAATATCTTTGTCTGGTTTTGGTATTAGGGTAATGCTGGCCTCATAGAATGAGTTAGGAAGTATTACTTCTGCTTCTATCCTCTGAAAGAGACTGAAGAGAATTGGTATAATTTCTTCCTTAAATGTTTAGTAGAATTCACCAGTGGACCCATTTGGGCCTGGAGCTTTCTGTTTTGGAAGGTTATTAATTATTGATTCAATTTCTTTAATAGATATATGCCTATTCAGAGCATCTATTTCTTCTTGTGTGAGTTTGGCAGATTGAGTCTTTCAAGGAACTGGTCCATTTCATTTAGGTTATCAAATGTACAAGCATAGGGTTTTTCATAGTATTCTTTTATTATCCTTTTAATGTCTATGGGATCTGTAGTGATGGCCCCTCCTTCATTTCTGATATTAGTAATTTGTGTCCTCTCTCTCTTTTTTTAGTTTGCCTGGGTAGATTTTATTGATCTTTTCAAAGAACAAGCTTTTTGTTTTGTTGACTCTTTTTATTTATTTTTTATTTTCAATTTCTATTTTCTGCTCTAATTCTTATTATTTCTTTTCTTCTGCTTACTTTGGATTTAATTTGCTTTTTTTTTTTTTTTAATTTTCCTAACGTGGAAACTTAGATTCTCATATGTGCTTTCAGTGCTATAAATGATGTCAATTGTATCTGGTTGATTGATGGTGTTATTGAGTTCAACTATGTCTTTACTGATTTTATGCCTGCTGGTCTGTCCATTTCTGAGGGAGGGGTGTTGAAGTCTCCAACTGTGATAGTGGATTCGTCTATTTCTCCTTGCAGTTTTATCAATTTTTGATTGATATAGTTTGCTGATCTGTTGGTAGGTGCATACACATTAAGAATTGTCATGTCTTCTTGGACAATTGACCCTGTTTATCCCTATGTAATTATCTTCTTTATCCCTGATAACTTTCCTTGCTTTGAAGTCTGCTCTGTGTGAAATTAATATAGCTACTCTTGCTTTCTTTTGATTAGTGTTAGCATGGTATATTTTTCTCCATCCACTTAATTTTAATCTGTATGTGTCTTTATATTTAAAGTGGGATTCTTATAGATGGAAAGACTACTATACAAGTCTTTTATAGTGGGGCTTGTTTTTTGATCCACTCTGGTAATCTCTGTCTTTTAATTAGTGTATTTATATCATTGACATTTAATGGTTATTTATATAGTTAGATTAACATCTAGCGTATTTGTTATTATTTTTTGTTTGATGCCCTTGTTCTTTGTTCCTATTTTTGTCATCCACTCTTTTTCTATCTTTTGTGGTTTTAATTGAGCATTTTATAAGATTACATTTTCTCTCCTTTCTTAGCATATAGCTATATTTATTTGTTTACATTTTAAATGTTTGTGCTAGAGTTTTCAATATACTTTTACAACTAATCCTAGTCTACCTTCAAATAATACTATACCACTTTGTGGGTAGTGTGAATACCTTATAATAATAAAATAATCCTAATTCCTCCCTTCTGTTGCCTGTGTCATTGCTGTCATTCATTTCATTTATATATAAGCATACATAAACATATAAATATATAATATATACATTAGTATACATAATTAAATACATTGTTGCTATTATTACTTTGGGAAAACTATTATCTTTTAGATCAATTAAGAAAAAGAAAATAAAAATTTTTATTTTACCTTTACTTATTCCTGCTTTGATGCAGATCTGAATTTCTGACCTATATGATTTTCCTTCCCTCTAAGGAACTTCTTTTAATGTTTTGTGCAAGGCAGGTCTACTGGCAACAAATTCCCTGAATTTTTGTTTGTCTGAGAAAGTCTTTATTCCTCTTTCACTTTTAAAGGATAATTTTACAGAGTATGGAATTCTAGGTTGTCTTTTTTCTCTCAGCACTTTGAATATTTCCCTCCACTCTGTTCTTACTTACAGAGTTTCTTTGGAGAAGTTGGATGTAATTCTTTGTTCCTCTTGAGGTAAGGTGTTTTTTCCTCTGGATTCTTTCAGGATTTTTTCTTTGTTTTTTATCTTCTGTAGTTTGAAGATGATATGCGTAGGTGTAGTTTTTTTGCATTTATCCTTATTTTTGGGCACTGGTGTTCTCTGAGCATCCTGGATCTGTGGTTTGGTGTCTGATGTTAATTTGGGGAAATTCTCAGTCATTTTTGTTTCAAATATTTCTTCTGTTCCTTTCTCTCTTTCTTCTTCTGGTATTCTCATTATGCATATGTTACACCTTTTGTAACAGTTGTCCCATAGTCTTTGGATATTCTGTTTTGCTGTTTTCAGTCTTTCTTCTCTTTGCTTTTCAGTTTTGGAGGTTTCTATTGAGATAGCCTCAAACTCAGAGATTCTTTCCTCAGCCGTGTCCAGTCTACTAATAAAACTACAAAGGCATTCTTCATTTCTGTTATGGTGTTTTTGATCTCCAGCATTTCTTTTTGGTTCTTTCTTAGGATTTTCATCTCTCTGCTTACATTGCACATCCGTTCTCGCATTCTGTCCTCTTTATCCATTACAGCTCTTAGCATATTAATCATACTTGTTTTCAATTCCAGATCTGATGTTCGCACCATCCCTACCACGCTTGGTTCTGATGTTTGCTCTGTCTCTTCTAATTTTTTGCGTTTTAATATTCATTGTAATTTTTTTTTTTTTTGATAACTGGATGTTTTAGTCTGCTTGGGTTGCTATAACATAATACCATAGACTGGGTCGCTTATAAACAAGAGAAATTTATTCCTTATAGTTCTGGGAGTCTGGGCCGTTCAATTTCAAGCTTCCAGCAGATTCAGTGTCTGGTGAGGGCCCACTTCCTGGTTCATAGATGGTCATCTTTTTACTGTGTCTTCACATGGTGGAAGGGGGAAGGGAGCTCTCTTGGATGTTTTTTTATAAGGCCACTAATCTCATTCATGAGAGCTCTGCCCTCATGAGTTAATCACCTCCCAAAGGTGCCACCTCCAAATACCATCACACCGGGAGAACTGGTTTAAACATGAATTTTAAGGGGACACAAACATTCAATCTATAGCACTTGACATGACGTATCAGGTAAAGGAACTGCTGTAAATATGCCTTTAGTAATGTGGTGGTAAGGTATACAGGAGGGGAAGCATTCCATAGTCCTGTGGTTAGCTCTCAGTCTTTTAGTGAGCCTATGCCTCTGGACTGTGAACTACACAAGTGTTTCTCAGTGTTTTTCCCCCCTTAGGTGGGATAGGATGGCTAGTGTGGGCTGGAGTTGGATATTTCCTTTATCCTTTGTGGAAGGCTAGAGGTGACTGGAGTTGGGTATTTCTCTTCCCCAGGTCTGTTAGGTGCTAATAATATTCCAGCAGGTTAGACTCTGGTTAGTTAGATTCTCTCGAAAGCAGGCCTTGTTAATAAAAACAGAGTGCTCTGGCATATTTCAAAATGGTTCCTTTCCCTTTCCCCTGCCAGAAGCATGAGTAGATTTTCCTCCAGTATTTACTGTGAGAATGTAGTTGAGCTCCTGGAGGTAAATCAGAATTGTGGGGCCCTCATCTATGATTGAGCTCCTGGAGTTCTTAACTCTCAGACTTGTTTGCAGTGAGCCTCCAGCACTTCTTCAGTCACATTTCAGATTTTTCTATCCCAGCACTATCCCAGGTTTACACAGTGGTTTCTACTTGTAAGTCTCTGCTCTGGTAAACTGTGACTCCCCATATTTGCCTGTCTGTCTCT